TTAGTAAGAAGTCTCAAGTTTAAACCTTCACACCTTAGCACTTATTACTATTTTTATTATTTCTCCCCTTTTTTTTTTTTTTTTTTTCATATGTCGAGTTTCTTTAGGCTTTTTAAGTTACTCATGTAACGAGCATTTTGTCAATGACTCCCAAACCAGTTGGTATTAGGGCATTAGATGAAGAGACACCTCTAAAAACATATTTACTTAAGTAACAAAGGCCACGAAACATTCGACTTCTTTTTTTTCTCTCAGCCATACAACACGTTCTTCCCTCAGCTATCACTTGTCTTTTGACGTGAATATTAACATTTGTAATGAAAGCACTCAGTTACTCAACAAGTCATAAACTCAAAGTATTTTGTATACTTATATTTCAAGTCGTAGTTTGACGTGAAAGTTGACCCCAGTGAGTAGCACTAGAAACATTGGAGTAAAAATTAATAAACTCTTGTATTGGTTTCTTTTTCTTTTTTTGTGCTATTTAGGTGCTATTAAGTCTTCTCTTTAAACTTCTTACTGTAAACTTGTGCTCAATTAGAGTAGAATACTCATGAACTTAAATTTCATTATAATGATGTTATTTTTCAAATTTTGTATCTCCTTTAAGATTAAAAGATTTTAAAAGTTTTAAAACCTTCAACTCAAGAATATTTAATTCCTTGACATTAATTGGATTAACACTTAAAAAAAAAAAAAACCCTAATTTCTAAAAAAGAAAATGTATGTCATGCAAATATGAATGCAAATTAATGTAAGAATGGATGCTTAAAAGTTATTTTCTTCCCCAAACTTAAATCAAACATTGTCCTCAATGTAAAATAAAAGTAGGAGGAAAGAGAAACTTCTCAGGACTTGCACTTGAAGACTTAAAATTTAAGTTTTGAAGTTAAGTTGTCTTCAATTAGAGGAGACTTCAAGCATGTGAATTTTCATAATCTCGTCCTCCAAACTTGTTCAATGACTTGGGCACAATCAAAGAACAACAATTTATGCATCTAGGCCATAAAGAGAAAAAATAATAATAATAAAAAATCTTAACTATTAAAATAAAAGACAAAGAAATAAAAGAAAGGTTAAATACCTTTTTTGGTCCCTCTACTATAGGAAAAAGCCTTTTTTTAGTCTTTGTACCAAAAAAATCCCTTTTTTGATCTTTAAAGTTCGAAATCCGACTCTTTTTTGGTCCCTCCGTTAAATTTTGACTGATGTGACAGGTTAATTAACGAAAACTTTTTTTTTTCTTTACTTAAATTGTGTGGAAAATCCATCTGACAAAATTTGATGACATAGCCAAATTTTTTACATAATTGCCATTACAAATATTTTAAAAGTTATTTTGTGATTAAAGGTACTTAATTTCAATTACTTATTTGCCTTTGTCTTCTTCCTCATTCTATCTTATTCTCTCCTTCCTCCAACCTTCATTTTTTTTTTTCCCTTTGCCAAATCAAATTTGGAAAGACGAAACCAAGAGTCTTCACGCTAGGTTCGTCGTAAATCCAAGCGTTGGGTTCATCACACCTTGCTCTAGCCATCCATTTATTATTAATATGAGTATTTATAGTTTATAAAATGGAGTTGTCCCCCCTGATTTAAAGTTTTAGTTGGGTTCTAATCACGCATCTCTACTTTCAATTGATTCAGCACTTCTCCTACTCTCTTCTTTGTGTGCTTACAGCAGCCACATACATACCCAGATCTGTCAATTAAGAAGGGTATCATTAGACTCGGTAAAGATGGATAACCAATTGACAAGAGAAGAAGGCACATTGATTGCCATGGCAACATTTGGATCCTTTTCGCACAGCAGAGGCACAGACAAAGCAGCACAAATTCACCACATCAGGTTGCCATTTCCATTCTATCAATGAAGTTTGATTTTTTTTGAGCAACAATAATAAGAAAGTAGGGTGGAATAAAAAACCTGGCCAAATTGCTCTGAAACCATTTCAAACCCATCCCCAATTTCAAATAGACATGAAAGACAATGGAGTGAGGAAACGACTGGAGCAATGCTTGAGGAGGAAAGGAGTGGTGGGTGAATGCAATGTCGTAGGGTGTTCCTTAGATCTTTGAAATTCCTTGTAGAAGGTTGGATCTGGAGGCTCAATCTCCGTTCTGAACACCATGGAAGTCGCAAACCCTAAGAAATGCAAGTGGGATAGCTCCATCGCACGCGATAATGACAACGACCTTTCTCTCTTGGAAGCCATTAAGAAATCTCAGAGCACCGTCGATGTGCTGGACATCTGCACCCTCGAAAAACTAGTCTTCTCCTTCAAGCGTCGATTCAGAAAGAACATCAAGGCTTGTGTCAAGTACCAAGACCAGTTGGAGCACGTTGCGGATTCCGAGGTAGACCTCCATGACGACCTTCGAAAGCTCAAGATCCTCGTTGAAGCTCTCGAGCTATACCCCAACCTTGTCAATCTGAACACCATCCCTTCTATACTCAATCTTTTGTTGCCTGGGTTCGCGATGAACCCAGCGAACCCAGGCACATGGGTTCGCCTTTCCAAATCTGATTTCCATAAGGCAAAGGTAAAAAAAAAAAAAAAATGAAGGTTGGAGGAAGGAGAGAATAAGATAGAACGAGGAAGAAGACATGGGCAAATAAGTAATTAAAATTAAGTACCTTTAACCACAAAATAACCTTTAAAATATTTGTAATGGCAATTATGTAAAAAATTTGGCCATGTCATCAAATTTTGCCAGATGGATTTTTCACACAATTTAAGTAAAGAAAAAAGAAAAGTTTTCCGTTAATTAACCTGTTACATCAGCCAAAATTTAACGGAGGGACCAAAAAGGGGCCGGATTTCGAACTTTAAGGACCAAAAAAGAGATTTTTTCAGTATGAGAACTAAAAAAGGGCTTTTTCCTATAGTAGAGGGACCAAAAAGAGTATTTAACCTAAAAGAAAAGAAAAATTTTATGTTTGGATTGCATTTCATTAAGCGCTTAATTTATAGTCATTAGTTAGACTTTTTGCCACTTCAAGGTGGTTTTGGATCAGGTCATAGACTATTTCTTCTCATTTTCTTAAATCTTGGCTTTCTTGCCCTTAAGTTGAATTCACCATAAGATTTTCTCCAATGACTATTCTAAAGTGGTTTGGGTTTAAGCCAAGAGATGTGCCTTCTCAATTCTTCTAGGAGTGCCCCCTTTGATTCATAGGAAGATGATGATGTGTTCAAGCAATTTATATATTTTTTGATT